CGGCGATCCGGCAGCAGTGGCGTTCTTGTTGTCGTTTCTTATCAGGTCAGAATGCTTGGAACAGTATGTATGCAGAGTTCAATTGCGTACTCTGTGTGTTGACCATAGTCTATCATCTTCTCCCTTCCTCAAAATAGATCCAACCCCTGTCCACCTTAAATTTTACCAGTAACCTTGTATGCATTGTGAGTTTGGCAGCGATCAGTGAAGTTCGCTTCACTGTATTTCGCTGTACGATGATGATGATGATGAGGCGTGCCTTTATCACACGGGTGGACTGAACGTGAACATGAACAAGATTATCACAAAGTACAAAACAATGTGAACCAATGTACTAATCGGACTTACGTACCATCTACATAGCAACATGGCATCTTAGATTGATACTCGACAATCTTAAATTGAAAAAGGTATGGTTTATGAATCACATGGAACCTAGTCCGACCAACAACGGTCATGATGAATGCATCAATCGGTTTTGACATACACTGATAACAACCGAGGCAAATGGTCGAATAGATGTCTACCGACGGTAATGATACAAATTTTTCAATAGACAATTATAACTAGATTAGACAGTGAACAATCAGTTTGAATCTGAGAAAAAAGTCAATGTTCTGAGAATACTCCGTCACAGATATTTCATTCATTTCAAGTTTTTTTCCTTTTTATTGTATTCGAACTGGTTCACCTTGAATTGGTTAATAATGATTTTTATAGCTGAAAGAGCTGTATACGGTGGTGGACGTCACATAATGAATTCTGTGTTTAGCCTCACATTGCAACAGAATGGAGGAATATCCAAAATTATTATGCGATAATTGTTTCAGAAAACGCCTATTTGAGGAAAGGTAGGTAGTTTCGGGACAACCAGACAGAACTGAAGAGGACTGAATGCCACATGCAGTGTAACGATATTAAGCTAAGGGCATCATGAAAGATTTTAATTTCTTCGATACATATGACATACGCAGGACGGTAGATCTTAATTCCTTTATAAATAATCAATTTATAATTACAAACATTAAGATCAACTAACGGGTTAATTTTTCACAACTGTCAACCGATTTTTATACTACTTATTAGCATCTTTTACTGTTTACTCTGCTGTGTCACAGTTCATACGATTTACCCACTTTCTCGAATTCCCAAGGGGTGCGACAGCATGAAATTGATTATATATGCTATCCCCCTGTAGGTTTTCAACAGTTTTTGGTTACCTTATCTGGATTTTAGTTGGATTGAGTGAGCGATTTAGTAACCCTAGATGGAAATCCTGTGATTGGGTATAATTGGCTATCGCAACATTTCCAACTCAACAGGTAAGACATACTGTGATCGTGGTGATAACGCAGTGGTTCACTCGCTGTCACCGGCGTCCTTTGGAATTTGCGGTCCTAGGTTCGTGCCCTGTCACCACCGCGCAACTTTGGTTTGTCAGGTTTGTTGTCGTCCTGATCAATACCAGACCTGAACATATGGCCCCTATGTGGTTCCAATCCCCGAATATGAGGCAATAGTCTCCGTGACTCTACAACTGGTCTACGTGACTGAGGATTTCGCCCGGTCTGTTGTTCGTCACACAAATATGTGTACTACAAAAACTTACAGTCGCATACCGATCGGACCCTATTTGCATTTGATGTCAGAATTGAAAGCGAACATGTGTAGATGATGCAAGAGGAAGTGCAGGTCACTACTGGACTGGGTGAAGAGAAACTCTCGAACTGAGTGGTTTGGGACGCTCAAGAAGACTGCAACGAGCCGATGGCATTGATTTTCTTTTTACCAAGTTGGAATATTAGATAAAGTGTATCTGCCCAGTTCAACTTAGTGCTTTTCCCCCATCTTTACAATAAGCTCATACCGTGTCCACCATAAACAATTTTTTTGCAAAGTCCTATGTGAGTTTGGCAGTGATCAGTAAAGTTCACCTTACTGTATTTCACTGTACAATGATACTGATGATTTCAACAAGAGCTAAGCGAGGTGCTTAACACCTACTAATGAGCGTGATGAATGTTGAAGGGTGACAGATCAATGAAGATCCATCTCGGAACAGAACCGTGAATTTAACAAATATGATCCCTTGAAAAATTATTGGTTTGCCATCCTGAAATGCATTTAAGAGATATGCGCCGAAATGATTGAACCGATATTCGATTTTTCGACGAAAGATGTTATTATAGAGCCCCTTGTGAACGTTCCGATTAAAGCTAGTTGTCGCTACACTGGTGTCTTGGTAACGGAGTATCACGCTGACCAAGACGCGCCTCATATTTTTTTTGCTGAGAACAGTTTGTTTCGATCATCTATCAGTAAATTCATTGTAAAATCATCGACCGTAATTGTGATGGTTAATGGAATTCGACGAGCATTCGTTGTTTCAGCAGCATATTCTTTCGTTAGATTCCAGTAAAGATAAAGATAAAAAGTTCACTTGTAATTGAATTCCTCGTTCAGATGATCGGTGCCATCATGGGGCGTTCTGGTGTTCGCATCAATCAAGTCCGACAAGAATCCAATGCAGATATCAAAATCAGTCGACAAGAACCTGGTGTAGAAGATCGAATTATAACCATCACCGGTACCCCGGAACAAATTCAAAATGCACAATTTCTTCTACAGATGTGGTAAGTATATCTTTGTATATTCTGCTCCTATTTCATTCGATCGGTTCGTAATTTCAATTTTTCCTCTAATTTCAGTGTGAAAAAGTATGGTGATCAAGTTTGAGCACAATGCCCTATTCCGGAGAAATACGCATCGAAGAGCAAGCTCGAATAAACCCAGTTCCCTCACCCAGTCCTTATCAATATGTTGTACACTTCACTCTGTTGGTCATTGAATTCCTCCTGTTTAACGTGTAACGGCCGCTTTTGAATTCATACGTCCTTATAGTAATTCATGAAGCCTGACAACGCATACTCTAGCTTGATTCTGCTGAATTTCTGATCTCTTGCCAACCTGAGTATGCATCGTACCTGTCGATAATCATCTGAGATACCATACCATTATAGCCGTGTGCTTGATATCTACATGCGCAACTGCCGGTTTAAAGGGTCATCTCTATATTATAAGTTGAAGTCGTTCGTGTAACTTGAAAAAACGGTAAAATCGCGCTTCGTTGGAAAGGGCAGCCAAAGGATTGATAATTTATTGCAATGTGTACATTCAACGGGTCTGAATCACAGTTTGATAACCTCTAACGATTTTCGAGATTAGCAAGCTTCACAATTGTCAGGTCTCTTAGTAACGACCACGGGTTCAGAGACAACGTTGTACAATGCGATTTGTCGTCCGTTTTACAATCTTTCGTCTCTCTCGTCACCCAGTGTGATCCTCTCAGTGGATATGCGTGAGCGAGGGAGACGCACTTGGTTAATCCTGTAGCCATTTGCTCCTTGGTTGTTCGATCGCCTACCGAGCTTTCGGCATGCGCGCTAGAACGTCATCCCGGATATTGCTGTTCAACCGGCAGAATATTTTTACTCCGTTATTCTCGTAAGGATAAAGTTGAGAGATATGGCGATCTGATCTTGTTACTATCACACGGAAGGTGGAAAAGTCGTGTTGAACACAAAATCACTAGCACTCAAACGAACCGCAAAATCTAGCAATCAGTAGTGGGTATCGATTCTTGGTTTCGAATATCTACCGAAAACGAGCACTCACTCTAGCTTGATATGGACACCGAATATAGGCATGCTACCCACTTGGTTGCCGGGAACTCAGGCAGATCGTTTCCCACCTGGAATACACACGATATAGCACTACTAATCTCTGTGGGTACCTGACCTCGCTCATCTCATAGATAGCCTCCAGGGTTATGACTCGGTTGAAGACTTCCATAACCGAACTATTTGGTATATCACAAAAATGGAAGATTTGAGTTGATGATGAATTCGCAAACTAACCGTAATTTACCGATAATCCTGATGAGGATTTCCATTTCTGTGGTCAGTCTGCAAAGGGACTATGGTCGGAAACCTACTACTGCTTTAATATGGATCTGATCGAGACTGTCTTTAGTTCCCCTTGCGCTTCCAACCCAAACCAATCACTCAAGCAATTAAGACTATCTATGTTTGGAGAACATCAACATTACCTGGTGCCTATGATACACCTTATGAACTGATCCGAACGTTCTCTTTAACACTAGTTCGCATTTGATCAATCCCGAGGACGCGTGATACGTTTTCGTACTTGACGTTCTATGCATAAGGTACCCGCAGAGTAATTTATGGAGGTCGACCACTTGTTCCGGTGGACGACCGCGATCTTCTCGAACTCGACGCTTGAACTCATTGCTCATCCGGTTTATCGTTTGCAGCACTGGTTGAACTGCTGCAGCATGCGCTTAACCCTTGACGGACAGCTGGATATCGCGACGGCGGCACAAATCTCAAATTGGCAAACGCCAACCTGTTGTGTGTTAATGCTTCATCTGTGACGCGTCCGCCAGATGAGATAGCTGCCTATATAGCAAAAATTACCTAATTCCTCCATTACGTCCCCAGTCAGCCTGAAGTTGGGGACTAGACCATCCCAGTCTTTTAGTAATGTTTTACCCTTCGAAGTTGCAAAGCTGACACCAAACAATCCAGAAAGGCTTGCAGGTTACCTGTATCTTCACTCAATAGCACGATTTCGTCCACATACAGCGGACGTCGGACAGCCTGCCACCTGGGAGAAAGTCGATGCAGATATCCTCGCACGAGAAAAGAGCTGTTTCAAGAATGAAATCCAGCAATCTACTTATAGCGATCAACGAAATGCCAGGTTCGGAACAACACGATCGTCGGGCGATTAATACAATCTGGGCCAATGACCTCAGTTTTGGTTTGATTTCACCCAGTAGACCAACTACTTCATTTTCATCCCACCTCAGTATCAGGAAATTCCGGTACCTGTTTGCAACCAATATTGGATGTACTACAATTCGCAGACATGACTTGCTTTAGTGTGACTGAGAAATCATCAGGAAGCGAGAGATCCCCGACTTATTTGCAACGACCTACGCAAATCAGATGTGTTCACCATTCTTCTAGAATCTCATCGAAAAATCTTCATACATAGTTGCCGTTCAACTTCAATCAGCAGCTATCCGTCCTATGTAGAGCACCCTCTTTTCAACTTTCATGAGAGCCAATGCTACCAATACACGCTCTCAATCGAAAGAACCTCGTCATTTAATCATATAAATCCTAGGAAAATTATTAACTTCAGGCGTCTAATCGCACCTGTCTTCCGACGATTGGTTCAGGAATGTTTAAGGGGAAAATGGACGGCTTTGGTCAAGTGGTTCAGGGTGCATGAGTCCTGCGTGGAGTTAGTCTGTACAATTTTTCTTTCAGAAAAAGTTTGCCCGTATTCTATCGATCGCATTCACTAGTTATGTGGCGATCATCAACTCAAGGACCGAAACGTTTGCATGCATGTGCTCCGAATTCTGTGGAACTAGAAGGGGTTCTGTAATCACTGAATCATAGTGAACAGAAAAACTCAGGTCAGCAATTTTAATCACCGAGAATTCGCTAATGGTATATGCGACACCAAATGAAAAAAAGGCTCACAAAAGCAGGGACTAGTTGGCTGTAAGAAATCAAACGGGCTAAATAATGCGTAAGAGCAACAGATCTATACTACAGCGCCTGTCATTTATTCTACCGATCCATTCCTCTAAATACATCTCATCTATTTTTGTTATCCGGCTTTGTTCATCACGGGCAGATCATCGAGAACTCCTGACGTATCTTTCGCCAATGAAACAGCTTATTGAATTCAGTGACTGATAGGACTGATAGTTTCTTTTACATCATTCCTCCACCCCAAGGGGTAAAGCCCTAGTGGAATTACGAGGTATTCAAGGTTTCCCGTAGCGGAACGATTCTAATTGTTCAGACATCAATCTATATGCGTTGTTTGAATGACGGAGTCTGATGTCACCAATGCACGCATCGCGAAACAGTTTCTAGTTAACCAACGAGGACCGTGAGCACTAGTGATCTATCTGATGGAATTTTGGAAAGCGAAAATGCGCACCACAAATAACGAATGGATAGGAACGAATGAACCAATGCGTAATTGGGAGGCATATTCAACCAACGAGGGCACCCCTGAAAATTCGAACAATATTGTTATCTTCAATTGTTTGCAAAATTTCATGAAACCGAGTGATGGAATCTGTTTTCGGTTAACTAGTTTTCATGTTTGGGGATTCATCATCACCAGAGACACTGATCAGTGCGGAGTATCAATCGGACACACTTCAGGAAGGGACGGATGTTAAATGCACCGAATTACTCGAATGAACGAACCGGTTCATATTGCTTGCCAACGATGTTACCCAGGTAAGATGTTATGAAGGTGAAATTGAATAACTACTCACCCCGCCTTAAGCAACGGGCATCGCGGTCCTGATTATCCAGCGCGACGACCGATGCAGTATGCAATTATTTTTATTTTGCGTTCACTGGAGCTTTGCGCGGGTACAGCGATGCGCCTCGCAATTGTGCAAATATCTGCATCCAACTCCGGTCACCAACACGTTTCGCGAGCCACATTTCATATTCTCCACTCCCACAGTCCCTCGTCACCACTCCCCATGATCCTCTTCAGTTCGCGTTTAAACTCAACAGATCCACTTTGAATGCTGTGTTTAGTCTGGTCCATTTTATAACCAAGTCATTGAACAGCTCTGCCACATCTGTTCATTGCGTTTTTCGCGTTTATTCGTCTCCTTTTGATTCTGTATTCCGGTCATCCCTCCTTTAAATCTTTTGGCAACCCGAGACAGCTGCTGTCATGGCTTTCTGAATATTTCACCAAAAGAACCCAGTGCACATTGCTGGGCAGCAATACCTGGTGTGCTTCAAGGTGCTGTCCTCTGCTTTCATTGATGAACTTTCAGCTCCACATCCTGCTGAAAACCAAAAGTACGCTGACGATGTCGTTTTATGTCAGACCATTTATTCGGAATTTTTTTCCTTCACTGAAAATCTGTCCCGAATCAAACAGTTTACAAACCAGTCTGGCCTTAATCTTAACACATACAAGTTCTTGGGGTGCATTTTTAGTTCTTCCCGCTCTACATTCCCGTCAGACTCTATAACCCTAATTAATAACCTTTTGTCTAGAGTGACCTCAGCCAAATGTCTGGGTGTTACTGTCGAGAATTATCTTCGGTGATCAACACATTGGGAACTGTATCGGAAAACTTCGGCACCTTTCGTTTAAGCACCGACAATTTGGCACTTACCAAAAAGTCTTGTTCTCTTTTGTTAATCAATGCGTTCTCCATATCCTACTGTGATGTTTCCCGGTCCATTGAAACAAGACTTTAAAACTGCAGGTCGTGGACTAATGATAATAAGCCGTGCATCTTTCTGCCGAGTCATTATTCACAGAACTTATTAATGATCCTATGAAGTCTTGTATGACCTTTGCCGATAAGATTCTAAACGACCCCACTCATCCGTTCTATCTTGACTTATCTTCTTGTAGCTCCCATTTGATCACTCGTTCCTCTTATCGGTATCTACCCTGTTGAATAAATATTTATAAACACTCCACTGTACCGTATCTGGCTCGCATCTTGCCCAACAAGGNTGTTTATTCTTCTACAGTTTCTCCGGTGTGACGACCAGTGTACAATTTTTAACTAAAACGTAAGCATATCATGCTTGCAAAATTTATACAAATACAAATACTGAGTACAATACCTGCCCTGCACCGACCTACTGTGCCGGCTTTGTCGTCACCTGATGTGCGAAGAACGTATCTCGAAGACAAATCTGGCGCGCTCAAGCGGCTCACAGTAGTGAGATTCTGAATTCGAGCCGCCGACAAGCAGCAAATATCGACCCTGAATAAATAGAGGGTTGTGTACGTTCTTGCCACTCTACATTCCCGTCAGACTCTGTAACCCTTAATAGTAACCTTTTGCCTAGAGTAACCTCAGCCAAATATCTGGGTGTTACTATCTATAATATTCTTTGGTGTTCGACACCTTCAGAACTGTATGGGAAAACTTAGGCGCCTCTCCTTTCAGCTCCGAAAGCTTAGACAGTTTCGCACTCTCCAACAAGTTTTATTCTCTTTTGTTAAACAATGCGTTCTCCCTATTTTACTTTACTGCTCCCGTGTAGTGTTTCCCGGTCTATTGAAACAAGACTTTAAAACTGTCCGTCGTGGATTAATGATCATAAGCCGTGCATCTTTAA